AAGATTTATCTACAGTGTATATGTGAGTGCTAGTATGCATGTATGTGTAAAATGTGCATGCCTGTTACCCTCATAGGCCAGAAAAGGGCATTGGGTCCCTTAGGACTGGCATTACAGGCAATTGTAAGCCATCGTGTTGGTTCTAGGCACCTAACCCCAGGTCCTCTACAAAAGCAACATACTCCTAACCACTGAGAGAGAGAGAGAGAGAGAGAGAGAGAGAGAGAGAGAAACAAGCTCTCACTGTGCAATCCCAGATGGCCTGAAATTCAGCATGTATACCAAGCTGGCTTCAAATTTACAGTGATCTGCTTGCCCCTGCCTCCTAGGTCCCTTTTAGAAATAAATTTTATTTTTATCCATGTATATTGTCTATGTTCATGTGAATTCATTGCCCTCAGAGGCCAGAAGAGGGTATGAGCCACTTGACATGGATGCTGGGAATTAAACTCTGATCCTCTGGAAGAGAAGCATATGCTCTTATTTGCTTGTTTTTCCATCTTATGCAACATTCATTCTTTCAGAACATCATTAATATCGTCACACTTCAGTGATTCCTAGATTGGGGAGTTTTTGAATGCATTTGGGGTTTTTTTTTCCAACTGTTTCTTTTCTCTTTTTTTTTCTTTTTTCAAATACAAAATGGTAACAGTACAAGAACGCTCCCCTAGAAAAGGCCTGTTTGCACAGTTCCCTGCACATGGCAGACACATGTGGGATCGGGTTCAATGAGGAAGCAGATGAGCATTAGGGCTTTAGACCAAGCAACTTATAGTAATTGGGTAACACAGGTAAGAGCGAAAGTTACACTGCACCTGCATATTTTTCAAATTGATTTAAGAAACCAATTGAGAGGACCGGGAGAGGCAGCGGTGGCAGTGGCAGCAGCCTCGCCCCCCTTCCCCAAGGTTGCTGCCCCATCCCAGTCCCCAGGGCTGCGGTGGCCACTGGACACAGGTCACCTGGAGGTATTTGATGCATTGGGTTGGTAAGGAAGGTGATAACTGTGACTACTAGCGTGGCCTCTCCGACAGTCCATATGGTGTGCAAGTATTTTCAAAGAGGACACTGCATTTATGGAAACCACTGCAGGTCCGAACACAGCAAGCCATTGAAACCGGAAGTGACTGCTGCAGATCTGAGTGCAAAACCACCCCGTGCAGCTTCCTCCATGTCTCATCTGGAGTCGGTTCACTTGCTGAAATGAATCCAGATGAAGGTGTTAAGAAGCCCAAACTTCCCAACTATAGGAGCAGGGTCAGAGGCCTGGGTGAGCACCATCGAGTTCGTTCCTGGGCGTCCCTACTGTGGCCGCACTGCCCCTTCCTGTGCTGAAGTACCCCTGCAGGGCCCAGGGCCCAGGGCCCAAGGAAGAATGGAGACAGGGCAAACCACGTGGGACAAAGAAGCACCTCTGCCTCTGTGCTGCATTGGCAGAGTGTCGCTAGGAGGAAAACTGTGTATCTCCATGGAGACTCCCATGACATGTGTGTGCTGTGGGTCCTGCACCCAATGGATGCGGCCCAGAGGTCACAGCACGTAAAACCTTGCATTGAGGCCCATGAGAAGGATGTGGAGCTCTTTTGCTGAGCAGCGCAATCAGGACATGGTGTGCAGGGTCTGCATGGAAGTGGTCTATGAGAAAGCCAACCCCAGGAAGCAACCTTCAGGATCCCCTGCAACTGCAACCACACCTACTGTCTCAAGGGTATTTGCAAGTAGAGGAGTGTAATGCATGCATTTTATCCTGAACCTGGGGTGTTCTTATTGGGATTTTGTCTTTGTATTTCAGCTAGCTGTTAGGTTAAGTTGGTGTGTTTCATTTGAAGGAGGAAACCCTATGTATCAGTTAGTAGAATCTTCATGCTTTTTCTGAGGAGATTGTTTAATGGTTTAGACAGTTTAGGATCTGAGAACAAACTTATCTAGCTCTGAATGTGTTTCCTGATTTTATACATTTTCCACTTTCCTATGCCATCCATTAAGCTAGCTAATAATCCACCATTCTTTAGATTGTTCTTATAAACTGAACAAAAACCACATAATCTAAACAGAGCAAAGTTACAAAAAATAAATTTATTTAAATGAAAACAAAAAAGAAAGAAACCAGTTGAGCTCTGGAATCCTTCCTAGCCCCAGACTTGCAGCTTGGAGCTCTGCCTCTGAGACTCCCTATCTCTTCTCTCAGACTTCACAGAGTTCCTACCTCACCCTGGGTCTACATGCACCTTAGCTTGGAAGAATTAATGCATCTCATAGCTCTCAACAGACAAGTTTCCTTCTGCAACAGATGGTGATTAAGGCAGAAACCCACAACTGGCCAACGTGCAAAGAACAAGGGGCTGCAGAGTGCTTATCCCTGAATAGGACACCTACACCAAACTTCTGCATCCCAAGGCTGAGAGATCATTGTGGAGAGATGGGTGGAAACATTGTAAGACCCAGAGGAGGTGGATGACCATAAGGAAACAGAGTTTTCCAGACAGTTGGTCAGTTAGCAACAGTGACAGCACACCCAAGTCCCATACACGCTTAAACCAGAAAAAAAAAGTCCCAGCAAAGACCGAAGGAAGTGGATAAGATGTTCCAACCCCAACTAAGGTAGTTGTGACAACAGATGGCTGCTGAGACGGGCAGAGACAGACTCTTTGAAGCATGGGATTCCTGGTAGGCTAACCAGGCTCCAGTGGATGGACCCACACTTAAGGATATTTAAAAACACAAATTAGACTCTGTAGGCCTTAGTATACATAATGGACCATATTAAATTGGGTGGAGGGCAATAAGGGGAGGTGAGGACAGGGGAGGGCATTTAATTACTATCTATATTGTATGGAAATCACAAAAATTCAATAAAAAGAAAATAACTGAAAATAGTTCAACAAACATTTAGTTTGAAAGCAACAGTTTGGGTGCTGGGCATGCACTGGCACTGAGATCACCTGGAGAGCTTCAAAGTATCAATACCAGGCCGCCAGAACCCAGATTCCAATTTCCTTGGTCAATTGTAAGTTGAGTCTGGAAGATGTTAAAAGTGTCTCCAGAAGATTCTACCATGGAGTCAGAGGTTAGAACCTAGAGTTCCAGGGTTTGGGATTCTTTAGCTATGCATGCTATCAGCATGTGCCACGTGGCTTTGTCCATCACAGCGTCTTAGTTCCTGGTGGTAGAAAACACCTTTACCTATCTAAAATCAAAGAAAAATTCCAGACGTACTCCTTTGTTAGGCTATCATGCCGCAAGACAAAATGCATTCCCAGGCGACACACAGATTCATGCAACTTGCTTCAGCAGACATGATGAAAGGGCAGTAATTCAATTTTGTCTGTGTTGAAATTCATAACCAGCATTGAAATACCAAACAGGATGGAAATGATTTGCCAATATGAGGGTGTATGATGTTTTCAACTTTCTCCTAGGATAAGAAGTGAAAAATGTGACCTTGGTCTTTTCTATGATACCTTTCCCAATCTACATCTTTTGAATTTTCCAATCTGTTTCTTTTGAACTTGAAAGTAAATATTTTATGATTTATTTTATGTGTATTAGTGTTTTGCACAATACTTTGTGGCCAGTGCCCAAGGTTATGAACCATCAGGTGGGTGGTAGGAATTGAACCCAGGTGCTATGCAAGACCAGTAAGAGCTCTTAACTGCTAAGCATATCTCTGGTTCCCAAACTTGATATTTAAAAAATTAAACTTACACTGTTGAGACAGCTCACGTGGCTGTGAGTTGGCCACTGTAAGTGCAGGGAAATTTGGTCCCCTGCAAGAGCCAGCCCTTTGTCAAGCTTCTAATCAAAATTCTTATTTACAAAGTTTCCAGCCTGCCCTTGAAGTCTATACCTAGAGAGACACAGTCAGGGGGATCAGAGGTTCAAGATCAGTTTCTGCTGTGTCCCAAGTCTGAATCCAGGCTGGGCTCCTTAAGACCTGGTTTCAAAAAACAAGTGAAACTCCTGCAGTTTGCCCTCTCATTTTGTTGTCACTGGACTAGGGCATTGCTCCCTATTTCACAGCTCAGGCTACCTTCTTAAAACAGTGGGAAAGTTTTATAGGGAGTTTTAAATCATTATTTTAGTAGTATTTCCACTTTGATATATATATAGTATATATGCATATAATATATATATATATATATTATATGCATTTTGTTTTTCCAGAAAGAGTCTCACTATGTAGCTCTGTCTGGATTGCAACTTACTATGAAGAACAGGCTAGCCTCAAACTCAAACAGCTCTTCCTCCTTCTGCCTCTCCAGTGCTGAGAGTAAAGGTGTACCCAACCATTCTCCCGGCAAATGATAGCTATTTATATGTAATTCTTCAGCTGTTGCCACCGTAGGTACTAGGTTAAGTAAACATATTCAACAGGTTTTGGTATCTCTCAGAGGAAGCCCTGCCTTCAAACACCTTCAGGTGGGGCTGGAGCGGTGGCTCCAGGGTTAAGAAGCACTGGCTGCTCTTACAGAGGACCTGGATTCCCTTCCCAGCACCCACGTGGTGGCTAACAAACTTCTATAACTCCAGTTCCAGGCGGTCAGAGGCCCTCTTCTGATAAATTGCAGGCATGGGTGCACTTAAATACATGCAGGCAAAACACTCGTAAACATAAAATAAAAATAAAGAAAATACCCACAGTCAAGAATTTCTAATTTATTGTTTTGTGTGCTTTTGTGTATGTATTTAACACATGTGCCACAGCGCACGTGTCTAGGTCACAAGACAATTTCTCTATTTCCAACATGTGGGATTGGGCACTGAAGTCAGGACAGGGTAGGGCAGGGCAGGACAGGGCAGAGGACTCTGAAGTCAGGGCAGGGCACTGGGGGCAGGGCCCTGACTTGGCCTTTAGGGTTCACTTGCCTTCCATTGGTGCCGTCTGCTGTCACTCAGAACGTGAGGGGGCGGGTCCTTAACTTCTTTCCAATGGGAGACCATGTTGTAGGACTGCCTGTCCAATCAGGGTCTCATATACTGGAAGGCGGGCTTTCTGGAGCGCCTCTGTCCGTTGTCTCCGGGTCTGTCCCAGGAACGCGTCGGCTCTGGAGTGGATGGTTGTCGGCCTGGTCCGGTCCCGGGGTGACTGCTGCGGGAGGACCGCAGTGAGGACGGGATGTCCTGGAATCAGGCTATGGTGAGCGGGCCCTGACAGGGAGGAGGCCGTGTCCACTCCCAGCCTTCCCGCTGTTCCCTCCGGCCGTGTTGGGCTGCGCGGCTCCGGGAGCCCCGGGCGTCCTGTCCCGGCCCTGCTCCGGGGCTCGGGTGGGCGCAAGGGAGGTTGTTGAGCGCCGCGGCGGGGCTGCGGGGTTTTCGGCCCTGGTCTGCGGCCCCGGAGCGCTGCTCGGGAAGGTGGTCCCGGCGCCCTGCTTTCCGTCGCAGCCGAGGCACTCGGTCTGCCCCGCTCCCTCCCAGCCGCGGTCTTGGATCCCCTGCCGCCCCTCGGCTCTGCGTGCACCTCTGGGTTTGGGTCCTGGCTGTCTGCCCCTAAGCCATTAAGCCTAGTTCCAATGCTTTGTGCAAGTTCAGAGAAGAGACCAGGGACCCGTTTGGAATTTGTCATGTGCCCCCAAACCAGCTGCCCCTCTGTATCTTCTGAGGCACCTTGGCATCCTCCACAGGTCTACGAGGGGGGGGGAGCTAAGGAGTATTCAGAAGCTCTGTGTATGTCCCCCCTTCAAGATTTCTTCACCCAGCCAGAGCACAAGTGGGTTCCAGTAGAATCCAATGAACACAGATTTTATGAAGATTTGGAGACAGGTGCAGAGATCTAGACAGAGGCGTTGATCACCAGATGTAGAGACAGAACTGCATCTGTTAGGACCCAAGGATTGGCCCGGGCATGGAGAGGAGGTCGACTTCAGTTGGACCTCACCTGCCTTTCCACCCCACCCAGGGGCTGACTAATGGAGAACAGTCCCAGCCAGCTGAGGCCTTTATGCAGAAGCATGGGGAGTGAGGAGAGGCGACCCTTGTCCCCCACCCTCGGTGGAGCCAAAAGCTGGGGGTCTTCTGTTTCCCCCGGAACAGGACCACTGCTGGGAACCAGACCTGGTCAGTGCATCTTTGGGAAGGATTTGGAGACTGAGCTAAGAAGGGGAGTGGTGACTCCAACTCATCTCCACACAGGTCTCACAGGGTTCACCTTGGTCTTTCTGTTTGGGTGTCTGCATGGTTTACAGATCTGTTCATCCTTTGCATGTTTAATTTTGTATTGTTTTTGTTTTTCTCAGAATAATCTTACTCCATAGTCAGGATTAGCCTGGATCTCACTTGGTACCCTCATCTGGCATCAAGTGTTCATCAGTCTTCCTGCCTGAGCCTCCCAAGCACCAGGGTTAATAGAGGTGAACCACTCACTCCAGCCCTTAGTCTCCACAGCTGTTTCTCTGTGTCTGAGACCCTGAAAGTAGGTGTGGAGGCCTGCGAAGGGCCTTTGATGAGCCTGGACCCAGCGGGTAGATGATGAACCTAGGGTGTTGTATTTCTAGAGCTGTTTGTGAAAAGCCATATGGCTTTCATCTCTGTCTCTGGATGCCCTGCTCTATTAAAGTAAAACAGTGGAGGGGGTAGACCTGTGTTCAAATCTCAACTTCAGTCTAGGCATGGTTGTGTAGCTGTGATCCCAGCTGCTAAAGAGGGTGAGGCAGGAGTTAGGATTAAATTTTCCAAACCAGCCTGGGCTGCAGAGAGAATTCAAGGCCAATTTGGGCAGCTGCCTGAGACCGTATTGCAAACAAAAACCGAAGAGTGCAGTTCAGTGGTAAAGCCCTAGGCTGCACTGCACAGCCCTGGTTTCCATTTGCAATCACCTTTTCCAAGTGGGACCTCAGAGAAGCCAATCTCCTCTCTTGATACTCAGTTTGTTCTTCTGTAGAATGGGGTGAACTCACCTCCAATTTGCCAGGGTGGGAGTCAGAGCAAGAGAACGGGTAAGGAGTTACCTTGGAAAGGCTGGGGGCTGCTTTAGTTCTGACCAGACCTTCTCTGTGGGACCCCACGTTCAGAAGAGTGGTAGGAAGAGCAGCTGTGCCAAGGTGTTGGGCCTCAGAGGCTGGGGTGTGTGGTGTCAGGAAGTGGTACTAGCAAGGGCATGTAGGGGTCTGTTACATATTAGCTTTGCAGGTGCTCCATATCCCGTCTTGTGTGTATCTGTGTGTGTGAAGCATATATGTATGTATGTGTGTATATGTACAAGTGTGTTCAGGTCAGAGACTAAAATTAGGGAGTCAGTTCTCACCTTGCACTCTGAAGAGGTCTGTCCTGTTTCTGCTTCTGTGCTGTGTATTCCACTTTTGCTGGCCCTTGATGTCCCAAGTAGTTTTTCTGTCCCCAACCCTGTAGCACTCCAGAGTGATAGTGTTTATACTTGAGCACTGCTGCAGTGTGGGTTCCAGACATCTGAGCTCACCAGATGTGCTTGACAAGCACTTTCCCCACTGAGTCATCTCTGCTCTTTTTACTTTGATTTTGAGACGGTCTCACACTCTGTAGCTCAGCCTGGCTCTGAAATTGAGCTCCCATGTATTAGGCTTCTAGGCCTGCACCTTCAGGGCCAGCTCTGTCGTTTGTGGGAGTGGAGAGGAGCCAGGAGCTGGCTTCCCTATGCTTCTCTTGCTCCCCCTTTTCTCCTGTATGTTCTTCCCAGTGGCAGATCTGGGATGCAAGGGTGTCAACAGACATGCTGGATATGTATGTCTGGCAAGTTCTCTGCACCCACCCAGCACCATCAGAGGACTAGCGATGCCTTGAAAACCGAGGATGGTTAAGCCAAGATGTGGATTCCATAGGTCCCCTCTCCTCTCCTTCCTTCTTCTGTCATTTTGTAGACATTCCCTCAGTATCCTGTTACTATAAAACATGGGAAAGGGCCTAGACAGTGGTTGAGATCTCAGCTCCAAATCAAACCTGGGTGATCCTAATCCCATAATGATCCTAAGGTTGGCACCAGCCTGGGCTACAGAGAAAATTAAAGGCCAATCAGTGCAATTTAGTAAAACCATGCAAAATGTACTCCCCTCCCGCAAAAAAAAAAAAAAAAACAAAACAAAAAAACAAACAAAAAAAACAAACAAACAAACAAAAAAAAACCAAAGGGAACAGTTCAGAGGTATAATGTGTTCTTGGCATATTCAGGATCCTGGGTTCCATTCTCAGTTACCTTCTACCTGTGGGACCTCAGTGAAACCAGTCCTAATCTTGTGACCCTGTTCCTTCTCAAATATTGGCTGATGTTAGCTCCTATACATCTATGTGATGGGGCCGCAACAAGGAAGCAGGGATTGCCTTGGAAAGGCATGGACAGCTTTACCATCCAACAGCATGCCCCTCAAATGCAGGATGGGTGAGGTGGGGAGCTTTGTACGTGGTTTAGAAAGGGAATTCAAGGCCACTGTTTTGCTGGGAGGTATAGGGCTAGAAGAAAAGCTGTGGAGGAAGAAGTTGGCGTCTGAATGAGGCGGTGTCGGGGGATGAGGTTCAGGATCCTGAGCGTGAAAGAGGATGGGGTGCAGTCTGTAGAAGTGCTAGGATGAGTTGGGACTAATGGCTCTCAGAGGAGATCTGGAGGGCATGTCACAGTGAGGCCAGTTCTAATGAACAGGGACATTTCAGCAGTAAGATCTGGGTGTTTGAGGTTGGAGGTGTGGCCTATGAAAAGAGGAAGACATTGTAGAAAGATGGGAAATTCAGAGGACAAGGGAGAATAAGGAGCCCCTCTGGAGTGGAGGTGATGTCCCTAACCAATGGAAAGTCACAGATTCCCTCACAGTCAACAACCTTTGCTGTGGAGGTTGCCTCATACTCCTTTACGTAGCCAAATTACAAAGAGGAAAGTTATAATGCAGTGAGCCATGCGTCAGCCTAAGCAGGCACAGAACAGTACACTTCAGGTGCTGTGAAGCGGACTCTGGCCCTCTGCAAAAGTCATTTCTCCATTCCCCAACCCAGTTTTGTTTCATTTATTTATTTATTTACTTATTTATTTATTTATTTTGGTCTTTTTGAGACCCTATCTATCTATCTATCTATCTATCTATCTATCTATCTATCTATCTATCTGTCTGTCTTCTACCTATTACACACGTCCAGTTTTGTTTCATTTATTTATTTATTTACTTATTTATTTATTTATTTTGGTCTTTTTGAGACAGGGTCTCCCTGTAGCTCCAGCTCTCCTGGAACTCATTACGTAGACCAGGCTGGCCTTGAACTCACAGAGATCTGCCTGCCTCTGCCTCCCGAGTGCTGGGATTAAAGGCGTGCACCACCACACCTGGCACTCCTTATTTAATTTTGAGACAGAGGAGCCTTGCCCTGACTGACCTGGAACTCACTATGTAGGCCAGGCTTGAGCCTGCCTCTGTGTTCTGAGTGCTGGGTTTAAAGGTCTGTCACCACACCCCAACTCATCCAGTTTTAAAGGGGAAATGTCACAATGAAGACAAAACTTTTTTTAAAACATTTTTTATTTACTTTTTTTATTTTATGTGCATGAGTAAGTCCACCTGTTTTGCACAGTCCCCACAGAGGACAGAAGACGGCATCAGATCCCCCCAAAATAGAGTTATTAATGGTTGTGAGCCTCCAGGATGTGGATGCTGGGATTCATACCTGGGTCTTCTGCAAGAGCAGTCACTGCTCTTAACCATTGAGCCATCTCTCCAGCCCCAAAAGACTGAACTTTTATTTGCAGTAACAGCATCTGAAGCTCCCATGTAGTCCTTCTAACTGGACTTCATTCCTTCTGGTGACCCTGAGTGGGTAACATGTTTGCCCTTCCATGAAGAGTGGGAGATGCAACAGCAGGAGAAAGGAAGAAACTCTGTGAGCAGCTAGAAAGGATGGCGTGGGCTTTGACCTTAGTGACTGTAATCCTGACTGTCCAGGTCACTCCTTGATCTCATTTGCCTCCCTCTGAGTTTAGCTTCAGAAGCCACACAAACTAACCAAACTGCCGCTGTTAAGAGACTTAAGGGAAACACCCTCTCAGAAGCCCACACACTTGCCCTTGAGTGCGTATATTTACCTTTCCCTGAGCATCTGATATTAACTCAAGTGCTTACATCTATGTTAGGCAGTGTTTGCTTAATAAACTCCAGAGGCTGTGGCTGTAGCTTAGTTGCTTTGTGTCTACATAGTGCTGGTTTCTACCCCTAGTACCACATAAAGGGGATAGGTGGCCCCTGCCTGCAATCCCAGCACTTTTGAGGTAGCAGTAATAGGTTGAAGAGTTTGAGACCATGCCCAACCATATGCCATTTTCAAGGCCACCCTGGGCTTCATGAGACGATTTTCTTTAAAAAAGTCAAAACTGTTACCATTGGTTGAGTTCGGATGGGTGTTTCCTGGTTCTTGTTGTCTTATCCAAAGAGTTGAACATAAGGGCTCACACAGATGTACCAGAGCAATGAAGCCATAGAACAGGTTAGTGAGGGAATCAGTTTCATGGCTAAGGTTGAGGTCAGATTGGGCCAGTTTTTCTGCATACCCAGAGTTACTGGGAATATACTTGAATAGAAATTGTCTAAATTTGATTGTTAGTTTGGGCAGGCAAAGTTAATCTGTGGTTCAGAGACGTGTGTGTGACCTGCTGAAGATGTGACGGGGTTCTGAGATTGCTGGTGCATTGTTTGAAGAGGGTGTGCATGCTCAGTAGGTGCAGGTGGTTCCATTTGCTTGGATTTTTTTTTTTTTGCCTTGCCCAAGCTATGTGCTCCTGAACTTCTGGTGACTTTCTAACAAGAAGAGACACTGGGGTATTGGGAACACGCTGTTGGCAGCTGTTCAGTCTCTCCTATCGCAAACATCTTGAGCCTTTCTTTCCCAGTCCCATATGGCATTGGTTGTACAGAGGACAGGCCACTTGGCTGAGATAAAGTAAGAAAATCCACCAGTATCCTAAGAATTCCCAAAGTAGCTGTCCCTCTTTTACAGTTACAGGCGTGGGCTGTTCTTTTTTGATACCATTGTCAGGTGTCATATCTGCATCTTACCAGATTATAATCCTCTGAAGAGTTTTACAGCTGTGCCTGGCCCTTAGACCTGTGTGGACTGCTCTCCTATCCTCTTTCTTTTAAGGTGCACCCATATGTCTTTTACATGCATTGCTAATCCTGTAAAACACTCTGGTTAGCCTTACATCGTCTATGTAATGAAACTTTACACCTGTCAGGGAGGATTGTAAGGCATAGTTCTGGACCACCATCCCATGACACTGGGTCTGTGAAGGTCTCCTTGGTGAAGACTGAAGATCCACCATCGATCGTCCCAAGTGAATGCAAATTGGTCTTGGGATTCGGCAAATACTAAAAATGTGTCAGCCAGGTCTAATGCAGCATGGAAAGACTCTATCCCTTGTATCAGTGTTCAGTAAAAGAACAGCATTGGGCAAGCTGCTTGGCTGGGGGAAACTGCCTGATTAGCTCTCTGTATCTATGGTCATTCTCCAGGAGCCATCCAACTTCTTCACAGGCAATCCTGGGCTGTTGAAAGGACTCTGTCCTGGGTGATTTATCTCTACTAGCACCTTGAGGGTTTCTGTGATTTCATCATATCCCCAGGAAGTACACACTGTTGCCTCTCACCAGCACACTGGTAGACAGCTTTACAGTTGCCCATCTTGCCCAACCATATGGTTCACACGCTTAGGTGAGACTTTGTAATGCTGGAATACCGAGTGAGCCCCAACGCGTATCTGCTCTTAGGCTGTTCTGTAGTGCAGAAATGTGTACCATATGTTCTTATAGGGAACAATTGTATTCAAGTTTGCCAAAGTTTGTCCAACTTCATAAAGATTATGTCCTCAAATGGGACTCAGCAAAGCCACTAAAGCCTCCACCAGGCCTGTGGTCCCTGCTGACTGAATCTCTTCCTGAATGAATTCACCTGGGGTGAGTGGCAGGATCCAGACAGTGTGCTGAGAACCCTGTCAGCTCAGGCAACATTTCTTTTATTGGAGTGTTCAGAATCTGGTAGTGGTACTGAAATACTCCATTCCCACTGAAGTAATCTCTTCCCCGTCTCTCATCTCTTGGAGTGTACAATGAGTATTGAGTCAGCAGAGCCTGTGGTGAGATGTGAAGCGTGCCAGGGGAGGAGGTGGATAATTGCAACTGGGAGAGTCTCCCTGTGAAGTACTGGCTGTCCTGGACAGTAGACACGGCTAGCCTCCACCTCCCAGAGAACTTCTGCCTCTGCTCAAGTTAAAGGTGTTCACCACTGCTCCTGCCTGTATTTTAATTTTTTGAAGACTCAACATTACTATTTTATAAAATGGCTGTACCAATTTAACATTTTTATTTTATATTCATCTTGCATAATTTCCTACATGAACATAGTATACTTTGATCATATCTCCTCTACTGTCCTCTTTGTTTTGTTGTTTTTGAGACAGGGTCTCCCTGTAGCTCCAGCTGGCCTACAATGCCCTGTGTAGACTAGGCTGGCTTAGATCTCACAGAGGTCCACCTGCCGCTGCCTCTATAGTGCTGGGATTCATGATGTGTGCCACCATGTCCAGCCTCTATTATCCTCCTTCCTCTTCCACTGAAACTTGCTACATTGTTTTTATGTGTACACACTTTATGCCAAGTGCATAAGAGAAATGTTTAGTACAGTAGATTTCCACTTGCAATGCCTCAGAGGCCTGTAAGTTCCCTCCTCCAGCAATATTTGACTGCCTGTCACTCCTCACTAAGAAGTGGACCTCACCTGCCCCTCCCCCATCCCCGATGCTATATAGATAGGCTCAGTCTTGTTGAGCTCTTATGCAGGTAACCACTGGTGCTGTGAGTACTTAGGTGCAGTAATCATGGCATTTTACAGAAGAAAGTGTTTCAGACCTGTCCTTCCCATCCTTTGGCCTTAAAATTCTTTCACACGCTCTTCTGTGTTGTTTCCGGAGCCTTTGAACTGGTGATACTGGTGTCTCATTTAGAGTTAAGCCCTTAACACTTGCTTATGTTTAGCCCTTTGACCATTCATGAGCCTATATTAACTATTGCCTACTGTGAGCCAGGCGAACCAAAGTTTCTATGACCAGGGTTGAAAGCCGAGCTAATCTGCGGGTAGAAATGTTAATATTACTTCTTTTCATAGTCATATGATTCTCCTTTTTTGAAATACCCCATCCTTACAGCTGTCCTGAGGTAGCAGAAAGTTGGCTATTTAATAAATTCAATCTCTGCTTCAGGTTTGTGAGAATCTAGGCTGTCAAATAACCATTGGAAGAGAGTTCATAAAAGTTTTGTGAATAGATGGGTTCTGTGTTGTTTACTCTTTTACATTATTTCTGGGAATTTTATGCCATGGAAATGGAAATGTTTTCCTGAGATCCAGGGGACATCACATATGCCCAGTTCCCTTAATCTTAGAGCTTGGGGTTTAGTCTGTGGTCTCCCCAAATTGACTATGTCAGAGCAAAAATAAACATTACACTAGTAGACTTACTGGACCTGGAGATTTTACTGAGTTGAACTTGGGCAGTGACTTAGTCTGTTTCTCTATTGCTATGACAAAACACTCAGACCACTACCAACTTGGGGAGGAAAGGGTTTATTTGTCCTACATCTCCCAGATCACAGTTCAGCTGGGAGCCCAAGGTAGGAACTAAGGGCGGGAACCTAGAGTCAGGAGCTGGAGCACAGGCCATAGAGGATGCTGCTTACTGACTTGCTCCCCTGGCCCCTGCTCAGCCTGCTTTCTTATGCAACATAGGCCCACCTGTCCAGGGGTGGCACCACCCACAGTGGCCTGGGCCCTCCCACATCACTCATCAATCAAGAAAATGCCCCATGGACATGGCCACAGGCCAGTTTAATGAAGGGAATTCCCCAGTTGAGGCTCCCCCACCCCAGGGGTGTCAAGTTGACACCAAAGCTATCCAGCCCAGGCAATGTATTTTTTACATGCTGAAATTCCTTGGAAAACTGTTATATTTTTTTGAACCCATAAATTAACAAAGGTAAGATTGTTATGTTGAATTTTCTTGGTCCTCTGGTACAATCAGCAGCACCCTCTGTAAGACACTAACTAGACACCTACACAGAGTAGGGTGAATGCCCACTACCCAAAGAGTAAGGCCCTGGGTTGAGGAAAATGTGTCATTACAGGACTCTGTATCATTTGAGGATGTAGCTGTGGACTTCACCTGGGATGAATGGCAGGTACTTGACACTGTGCAGAAGACCCTCTACAGGGATGTGATGCTGGAGAACTACAGCAGCCTGCTGTTCTTGGGTGAGTCTACCTCTCCTGTGTCTGTTAGAACCATGTTCCTCTTGGTTGATGAGAACAGGTGGTTCCTAACTTTTTACACTAACTCTGTAGTAGACATTTTCATTGACACATGGTAATGGCACAAATTACTAGAGCATTGTGACTATGCAGTGCACTTACGTGTAATGATCAGATGAAGGTAATTGAAGGTCTGTCAGCTCAGAAAGTACTTCTTTGTACTGGGAGCATTTAAAATCTGATAGTGATTTTGAAGCATTTAGTTCCTTGCTGTCATCTTTATATTTAGTACTTTTCTGTGGATCGTAATGCATCCCACTAAGTGCTATCTGTCCTCCCCATCCTTCCTTCTTCTGTGTTTCTCACACAGTAGTAACTATTGTTTTGTTCTCTACTTATGTGAGGCCAACTGTAGCTTGCAAGAAGGATAAGAACATGTTAGATTTTTCTTTTTATGCATAACATAATTCACGTACTTATTAGTTACTTCTCTCATGCTTTGATAGAATACCCTCTTCCTTCCAGAAGATAGGTATTTATTTTGCAGTGCAATGCAGTGCTGGGTGGATAGAGTCCATGTGTGGCAAGGCATGGCAGCAGAGTGTGAGGCCAGCCTAGCAGTCAGGACGTGGAGAGGTCACATTTCATCACAGGAAACAGAGCATTCAGGGAGCGGGGCGAGGCTATGAACTGTAAAGCCCATCCCACAGAGATGGACTTCCTTCAGGAAGGCTCCCCTACTAAAGGTTCCATAGTCTTTCAGATAGCATTGCCAACTGGTGATCAAGTGTTGAAATGTGCCTGTGGGTGACATTTCTCCTTTCAACCACCATACTTCTGTCTTTGACGTTCCTGGGGAGATGTAGAAGAAACTTACAGTCACAGGTACACAGGGAGTAGGTAGCCCAAAGAAAGATCCGTTCAGTTCCAGGTTGGTGACTAAATGAGATTATGAGGGTACTCCAAGTGAAAGGTGGCTCTCAGACAGGTCTGTCCCCAAAACTTTCTGGCCCTTGTCATTTTTTACGTATTTCACATGCAGAGGGGCAAAAGGCAGCCTTGAATGGAATCACTGTTGGCTTTATGACAGTCTTCAGGATTTTTGACATCCTCATTGCCATCATCAGCCTCATATCCTCCACGGTTTTCTCTGTCGCACAGACAGCGGTCCAGTGTCTGCTGTAGGTCACCATAGCTACTCAGCTGTAACAAGGAAATGACTGCATTACCACGCTGTAATGCTCTCCAGGTCTGCCCATGACACTGTGAGGGATCTTTCATTTTAATGAGTAATACTTGTTTATAACTGCTGCATATACTTACTTTTCTTCTGTTGATGAGCACTCTTAGAAAGTGTTATGTATTTTGACTGAGTATTACTTAATGTATGTTTGCCGTGATAAAACACCATGAACAAAATTAACTTATGGACGGATGTGTTTAATTTGGGTCATGGTTCCAAATGTTTAGTAAGTGTCCATGTTGCAAGGATGAATGGCAGCAATGGACAGACATGGTGTCAGGAGTAGGCGGCCAAGAGAACACTTGAAAACTGAGGAATTAAACTGTAAGTGAAATGGGACCATAAGCTCTCCAAACAGACTCCAGGGACATCATTTCTCCAGCAAGGCTCCAACTCCTGAAGGTTCTACATTGTCCAGGGACCACCCAGCCAATTCAGGACCAGTGTTGAATTATGTGAGCCTATGGGGGATTTTTTTAAGCAACTGCATCCTCTATGTATGTGCATGCACCATATGTGTGCAGTCAAGCAAAGGCCAGAAATGGGCATGGGATATTCTGGAACTGGAGTTACAGATGGTGAAGAGCCAGCATGTGCCTGCTGGGAACCCAACCATGGTCCTCTGCAAGAGTAGCAGTGCTCTTAGCCACCAAGCCGTCTCAGCCCCATGAGCACTCATGTTTATTAAGGATCTTCACTTTTTTAAACAACGTTGTAATACACAGGAAACTCCCAGTTTCTCTGCAAAGTATGTATTTCCCATGAGTTTTTCCCCCTAAAGTGGGATAATAGTATCTTTATTTATAGTATTTATAGTATCTATATTTAGTATCATATTGTATTTGGGTTTTGTTTGTTTGTTTGTTTGTTGATTTTCTTTTTTCTTTCCTTCTTTTTTCAGAAAAGGCCTTATTTGCTAGCCAGGAACTTGCTATGTATACCAGACTTGCCTGGAGCTCACAGAGATCCTCCTGTCTCTCCCTGTCAAGGACTAGGTTGAAAGGCATGTGCCACCACACTGGCTACCATATTGTATTTTATATCCACCATCATAATTTATGTTACATTCATCATTCTACGGCACTTTTCAGAGTGTGTTATTTTGTGTCTCAGATTATCATGAGGGATTCAGAGCAGTTGGACACGCACTCATCAAGCAGGCATTCCTGTTCATAGCGCAGAGGAAGTTTGTAGGAAGGCACTGTGCCAGCATTTTCCTCGTGGATTACCCACTTAGACCTTCCTCCGGAGTGGAGGTCTCAGCTGTGACTGCATGTTTTCTAGTAATTGATTTAGGAGGGCCCAGCCCACTGTGGCAGGGTGCTATCCCTGGGTAGCTGTTCATGGACAGTATGAGACTTGATAACGCAAGCTGGGGGAAGCAAGCCAGTAGGCAGCATTCTTCTTGTGTCTCTGCTTCAGCTCCTGCCTCAGGTTCCTGCCTTGGATTCCTCCCCTGATAGCCTTAGTGATGAACATGGCCTGAGAGTTGTGATGAAATAAATACTTTCCTTCCCAAATTGCCTTTTGTTGATGGTGTTTAGCATAACAGTAGAAAGCAGACTACAGCAGTTGGTACCACTAGGGAAGTATTGCTGTGATAGACCTGAACATGTTGTGGGGAGGATTGTAGAAGGATTTGGGAACTTTGGGATGGAAAAACCATTGAGTGCTCCACCTTGGTGGGCTGTTTGGAGGGAGCTAGGAAGATAATGCTGAGAGAAGTGGCCATGTTGGAGACCTGGCAAAGACTGTATCCAGGCTGTGTGATACCGAATTCAGGGTCTGTGGATGTGAAACCTTTGTTTTATGGGGGGATGATGGTTAGTTAGCTGAGGTGGAAGAATCTGCTGTGATTAGGGAATGACCGTCATCACTGATTGAGATCTTCTAGGAAGTATTTCCTCAGAGTTCACACACAGAAACTGGATCAGTGGGTGTCATGGGCATATCATAAGCTGGCAGCTGAATGTGGCAAGGTGTAAAGGCCTCTAGTGTGGTAATTGTCCTTTTGGCATTAAAGCCATAGTGTTGAAGGGGTGTTGGCACTGTATGAGGCCAGGAGAGGCTATTAGTGAAGGTGCAGCCTCAATTAGACTGGAGACCCAGGGTATGTGAACTAGCAGGACTGTGGTGACCACAGGGACAGCAGCAGCTGTGGAGCAGAGGTGGCCTGAGACCTTGAGACAAGCTGTGTGTTATGGTTATCAGAGTTGGGAAAGTGGAGCTGCCCAAGCCCTTTTGAGCCCCTAAGATCATGAATGAATCCCAGATGTCCAATATTGTGCCACAGTGCTGGCCTTTCGTTTTGGCTAAGTGTGTACAGCTATTCCTTTTAGAAATAAGTATGTAAGTTATTTTTTTATTTCACTGAATTTTTAAATAATGGAATTTGTGAAGATTATGGGACTTTTAATATACATTGTTTATTAATATGCAATGTTGGGGACAAGAAATAAAAGGGAATGGGATATAGTGATGTGTTTGTATTTCACAAGTGGTCCATTGTGGTGGTGTTGTTGTTTTTTTCCAGCTTAAAGTAGAGTCAGCTAGGAAGAGGGAACCTCAGTTGAGAAATTTCCCTATCAGTCTGACGTCTGGGACATTTTCTTGATTCCTGGTTAGTATAGGAGGGCCCAGCCTAGTGTGGAGGGTACAGTCGCTTGGCAGGTGGTCCTGGGTATACAAGAAAAGGAGCTGTGTTAGCCAGGGGGACAAGTCAGTAGGCGGCATTTATGGGTTCTGCCTCAGCTCTTGGCTACAGGTTCCTACCCTGACCCTCCGTCATTTAGCAGTGTACGATGCAATAATCCCTTTCCTCCCAACATGGTTGTTGGTTAGAGTATTTTATTACAGTCATAGAAAGTCAGCTAGAACCTCTTCTTTCCTCCTCCCTGAAAGGAGTGTTTCAATTCAGTGGAATTTATTAAAGAGGAGGGTACTGCATAGTTATACTGTGTAGACTGTACTGCACCCGTGGGTAGGTTTGAAGTCATCGCAATGTTGGAATGTAGAGTAACAGCCAGGAACATGGCTCTACTGTCCGTTTAGATGAGTCATTAGGCCTTTCTTAAGAATTCTTTTTGTCTTGGACTTTTGCCAGTTTAACTGTAATGTGATCCAAAGTCATTTGCTGGGGAAATCTGTTAGGGTTCCTTTGAACACCCTGGGTCTGTCTGTGCTGCTTCTGTGCTATAAAATTCTTTGAATAGGTGTGTTGGTGTCCTTCCCAATTTTGTGTGGAACAACCATGAACGGGTTTTTTAACCTTGGATCCTGCATATTGGAAAGTCTATCCTTTAAAAAAAATTTTTTTAATTTATTTTTATTTTTTGCATATGAGTATTCTGTCTGCATCCATGTCATGCAGTGCCCGTGCAGGACAGAAGAAGTCATTAGATCCCCTGGAACTGGAGTTACAGACCATTGTTAGCTGCCATGTCAGTACTGGGAACTGAACCCAGGTCCTCTACAAGAGCCGCCAGTGTTCTTGTAAAATAACCAGTTTCTGTGCTTGAAATATTTTTCCTGAAAACTGGAAGTTGACCCATGGTGTGTTGTACGGTTGTAGTTTTCATTTCATTAATTGACATCTTGCACTCTTCAACTTTTATCTGGTTCTTTTTTTATGATCCCTCTCTCTTACTCAAGTTGTCCTAAATGTTGTATGACTTTCTAATTTTCTTGAACTTTGGCTCTTATTTTTCTTTTTAAATGTTCTTAAAATTGCTACTCTGGGTATGTCGTGTAAGTATTAGGCAGTTGAATGTAGTATTTCAGTGGTCAAAGCACATTTCCTGAACTGGAACCGTCTTTTATAGGTAGACTTGACTTCACACTCTGGCACAGTTTGTATGTTATTTCTCTCTTACAGGGCACTGCATGACCAAACCTGCGTTGATCTTCAACCTGGAGCATGGATTTGGTCCGGGGAGTGTAGACAAAGCCTCCATCCAGAGCCTCCCAGGTCAGTGGATCCATACGGAGCTTGGGATGTCAGCAGGAGGACAGCTCATCCAATAGTGGTCATGTTGAACTCTTCCCACAAATGTGTATTCAAACCCAGTCCAGAAGACAGCTGATGTGGTGGATCAGACACTTGATTTTTGCAGTTCCTGAGTGGGTTAGCCAGGTTAACCCAGCTGATAAGTTCCTTTTCCTGAATTGCATTCTTTTATATTTTCCAAAAATGTATATTTTCCATTTTCTTTTGGACTTTTTTGAGAAATCCCTGCAAGTGTGAGACTTGCAATGTGGCTGAGGCTGGCCTTGAAGTCATGATTCTCCTGCTTCCAAATCCTTGCTGGGACTAAAGGGGTCAGCCTTCACACCCAGTGGGGGGATAGTTTCACTGGTTAGATAGTTCACCTGAGTTCTCAGTTGTCCTCTTTCCTCCCTGTTTCATGTAATAGGTTTGTATCAGTCTCAGCCTATTCTCCAGCCCTTGTTCCCTGATGACCTTATCCACAGATGACTTTGTAATCACTGGATACCAGTGGTACTCATACACATGTATCTTCCTGTGATGTACTTACATTCTCTGAAAGAAATACGTGCAGAGATATCATGTATCATGGTTAGCTAAGGCCAGAACAATGTGTACTAGGAAGGGAAGAAGAAAATACATGTGATTGATTTTAGAAGGACTTAAAGTCACTCTTCAGGAAGCACTTAGTTTTAATGTTGGATGCTTTTTCCAATTTTAGGATGTAATATATGGGTGGATATAATTCAAGTTTGATAGTGACCATGACTAGAATGTGTATGGAAACTTGAAAGTCTGCTGCTGTGAGTACTTAATATAATTCTTGTTGCATCCACTTGCGGATTTTATATGGAAAGGAGAAAAGAATATCAGAATTTCCAGGGTAAGATGGCAAGTTAGGACCTTTCTCCATATTACTACATAAATGGGAAAATTAAGATTCACAAAAGCGATTAATACCATCCTTGGAGAGAGAGAGAGGGAAGATTGCTGGAGAGTTAGTAAGGAAGAGGTATCAGGAAAGCTTAAATACAGAAAACCAAAAGACAATGCAGAGAAAAATGGAATAATCCATACTTTAAAGTTCCAGTTCCAGGTGCAGTCAGGAACCCAAGCCGTCATGTTGGTGTAAACACAGAGGATCCAAAATGCCCTGCTGCTAAAACTGGCATTTATAGCTACAGAAGAACCTGTTTGTTTTGGGGGTGAGAATGTACCAGTCTGGCCTCAGGCTCACTAAGCATTCAGCTGTGTCTGAATGTCTGATCCTCCTGCTTCTAGGTCATGAGTGCTTAGATTATGGGCTTGCATAACCACACGTGGTTTTATGTGGTGCTGAGGATCTAACTCAGGGATTTGTCCTTGCTCCACAGTCACTTTTCATGAGAGCTACACCCAAACCATTGTTTGTTTTTTTCCAGTGTTTAGTAGTACAGACTGATTTTGGCCAGCTCACTATCTTTGAAGAAGTTGATTGCATTTATCCACATACTGTGCTTTGCAGTTTGCACACCCCCCCTCTACTCCTTAGAGAATGGAATAATCAGAAACCAAGGAGGCTGTGGATACACTGACAGAGTTTCTGTGTGGGAGATGACCCCTAGACAGCCTTGGAGTCCAACAGGGTTAGATGTAGAATCACTGAGAAAGCCAGGAAGCAGTAAGTTAGTGGTATGGAAGGTTTGATGGTTGTATCTTTTATGATGAGGAATTTGTCCCATTGCTTGTGGAACAATTCTGAGGGATGGAAGACCGATTTCTGAAGTGAGGAGATGACTTTTTCTCTAGATCTCCCACTTGTAGTTGGCTGCACAACAAACTGGGAGCCCTGAGTTGTCCCAATGGGTCTCTGAACATTCACAGCCTTCTCTTTACCATGGTGTTCTAATACTGTTTGGGTTCTGAAAGTATTGAAACCCACAGGCAGTCTCTCTTTCCTGCTGCTCTGCCACAACCTCACTCATGACACACCCATTGACTTGGACTTTCCTTCTCTATGTGAACAAAAATTGCGTTTCAGTAGCCCTCAAGTCACAAAGGCAGAATTCCTTAGTAGCTCTTCTTAACTGAACACTGCTCGAGTTTGACAGCATCACTTTGATGTGCCAACAGTCAGCCGTCATAAAGCATGGACTGTCATGGTTAGGATGGGAGAATCAGTCTAGCTGCAGCCCAGTACCCCCACATCCTGTTGGTAGGTTTCAGCAGTAGAGGACCGATGAAATGTTTTGCCAATTTTTCTTGTTTTTCACCTCCTTCTGTTTTATTGTTAATGTCTTAACTTTTTCATTTTTTTCAAGTTTTTCGTGCTTGTAATTTTGTTTTTTAGACTTATTTTTTATTCCTCTGGTTTTTCATCAGTCCTTTAGCTCTTGTTATTTACTCTCTTTTACATATTCCTTTTTTCTTCTGGATTTATTTCTTTAGTTTCTTTATATATTTTTTATTGAATTTTTGTGCATTTCATACAAAACATCTTAATCATCTTCATACCCCTTCCCCCACCTGCACCCCCCTCAAAGACCCCTGCCCCCACCGAATTTCATCCATTCTGTTATATATGTTAAGGTTGCTCAAATCAAGTTTATGTTCCCAGACATCCCTCAGTGCAAGTTCATTCACTGGGATCTAGTCAGCCTATCTAGAGTCACTCTCCTAAAGAAGATCAACTCTCCCTGACCCAGCAGTAATCAGTGCCAGTAGTTCTTTGGATCAGGTTGGAGCCTGCTGCCCATATCCCCAGTTCCTGTGCTGGGTGTGTGTGTTTGTCTGTGTGTTACACGTTAGGAGGTGACCTGCCATGGTGAATGTGGGTGAGTCAGAGTACAGCTTTATGGAGTTGTTTGTATTCTTCCACTTTTTTCCACTGAGTTCTGAAGATCATACTTAGGTTAGTGAACCTGAAACTTTTCCCACTAATCTCTTACTAGCTTACTTGTTAATTTTTATTTTCCTTTATTTAACTGTCTTTTGGCCATATCCCTTGCCCTTCTTTTATTATTTCTTATACATTCATTAATTTTACTCTTTACTGTTAACTCTCCATTTATTCATATTTTGTTTTTATGGCTGCTGATGGTGTATCAGATTTAAAAAAAAATTTTTTTATAACTGGTTTATTTTGGTGATGTTACTTATGTGGCAGTTTGCTCATTATTGGTAATGCTGGTCACTAAGGCTACAGAGTAAGCCTGAAAGAGAAACCCTTATATCATGTGAGAATGGCTGTCCTCCTTGTATAGAAGACAATTTGGAAAGCCAATAATTATGGCAAAAAATGTAGGCAAAAGGTGGCATCTCTTTAAAAAAATGTGATAGCTAAGGTATGAATTCACAAATGTTAAAGTGACTGAAATGCCAAGAACATAATGCCAAAGTCTAGTTTTTGTCTTAATTGATGAATGTCAAAGGCTAGCTAATGGGGGAGCAGAGCGCTGCACACCTGCAGCAAGTACAGTCAACAAAACACTTAGTCACATACAATGAAAAGCAACACCTTCCAAGGAAAGAATAGCTCTGTGTGTTGGTGCATGCTTTTAATCTCAGCATTTAGGAGGCAGGAGCATACGGATCTTTGAGTTCACGGCCAGCCTGGTCTATAAGCAAGTTCCAGGGCAACCAAAGCTGAGTACTCAAACACTGTAAGAAAAAATGCACAGCTCTATGTATATCCAGGTGGTTGTTAACCCCCTTTTTTTGTAAAATTATTCATGGATTCATACAAAATCTACTGACTCAATGCATTTTAGTACTCATCTTCCTCTTTGTCCTGGCTAATCTGGTAGTCATTATTTGTCTTTGTGCTGTTCTTGGGTACACAGAACCAATCACATAGATTATTATTCTTGAACTATTTTTTGCTGAGCTATTTCAAATGCCTTCTGGAAAAGGTACCACATTAATTAGAGCTCTCTTGTTCTTGGACTTTCCCGTGGTTGCAACCTTTCCACCAAGATGCCCAGCCTTTTTGTTCACTTGAATTCTTTACAGGAATTGATCAAAATTAGCAGCTTCTGTGATTCCATCTTCTGTCATGTGGGTGAGCTTCAGTTAGATATGGAATGCACTAGGTATTAATAAAGCCAGGAATCCCTTTAATAGAAGCTGGCTGTGCATTCCAGACAGTCTCTGGGAAATTCCAGTGTACTCTTGAGAAACAAGAAAATAAACAAGTTCATTCACAGAAATGGACATTAACATGCCATAGGATTCCTGTGTAAAAGCTAATGTTGGAAGAAACTATATACCTGCTGTAGTCATTAGCAAAAATATGGGTTGGAGAGATAGCTCAGCAGTTAAGAGACCTGGCTGCTCTTGCAGAAGACCTGGGTTCAAATCCCAGCACCGACATGGCAGCTAACAACCATTTGTACTCCACTTCCAGGGGATCTGATGCCCTCTTCTGTCCTCCATGGACATTGCACATATGTGCAGACATAATATTCATACACATAAAATAAAAATAAATAATAAAACCCCCCAAACCCTCCTAATAATGCATTGTCAGAAAATATTAACAGACCCAAGCAGCATGTTCTAGTTTGCTTTCCATTACTGTGATAAAACACCCATCACAACCAACTTGGTGAAGAAAAGGGCTTGTTTCATGTTACAACTTGCAAGTCACAATCCATCAGTAAGCACTGTGTAGGCTGGAACTCTGGCCAGCAATCTGGAGGCAGGAAGGACAGCACAAACCACAGAGGAGGGCTGCTAACTGCCTTGCTTCTCCTGACTTGCTCAGTTATTTATTATTTTTATTTATTTATTTATTTTTTACTTTCCCAATCTTTAAGAAAAACAGCAGTAGTAGTAAACCTCTAAAAAAGGTGGGATTCCACCTTTGAAAATGTGACTTTTGGTTTCCAAAGACATGCCAGCAACATGTGCATGGTTCCCAGTTGTATTGAGTAGGTAAGAAGTTGATGTGTTCATTGTCCACATCCCCCAGTCTGTGATCTGTCTGGACAGTAGTACTTGCCTGAACAGCTACTACAGCTCTGTTAATTTTGGCTATAGCTCCCTGCACTCTCCTGTATGCAACAAGTGCAGAACTTACGCACATTCCTTAAGAACTGCATCTCCTGTGGCAAAACTAAGACTGTGTTTGTCTAAAGCATAAGGCAAGCCGCCTTTTGTTTGATTTGGTTTTACAGCTGCCTCCTGTGTTACACACGCTCCGGAACCAAACTTCGAATTCTTTTAAGCATTACCACATAATAATCTTGGTCATGAGGCAGGGCTATTAATCAGCCTTAAAATTAGGATTATTGATTTCCAATTTGATCAATAGCTCTCATTTTTAGTTGCATTGTAAGTTGTTTTTTTTTTAATCAGGTACTAATGATGTGGGTGGGATATGTTGGGGTGTCTGAGAGCAAGAGCCTTTTTCTGCTCTTGGTGAGTAGCTTGAGGGAGTAGGACCCTGGAAAACATAAAGCCACCAAAACTGCCTGAAGGCAGTAGCTTGTGAATTTAAAGAATGAAATTCACGGATGCACAGAGGGTGAGTTGTAGAGGTCTTTTATTATAGGGAACTTAAAGAGTGCAGAGCTCCGGTACAACAGAGGGGTCCCCAGAAGTGGAATACCATTGAGCATCTGTGAGTTAACAACGTTCTATTTTATTTTTAATTGTGGGCATGTGTGTGTAAGAGTGGGGGGTTGCGCATGTGAGTACAGGTGCCAACTGAGGCCAGAAGAGGACGTCAGATCCCCTGCATCTGGAGTTATAGGCAGTTGTGAGCTGTCTGCTGTGAGTGCTGGGAACTGAACTTGAGTCCTGGGAAAGCATCAAGTGCTCTTCAACTGCTGAACCTCTCTCCAGACCTCCCCTGACATTCTTAATCAGCTGCAACTTCTCATTAAATGTTGGTTTTCTATTCAATGCTCATGCTCAGTACTTCCCTCCAGGCCCGGTGGTATTCTTGTAGTCTCACAGAAAAAGCAGCTGTGCTCTTGATCATGCAGTTTCATGCCAAGCTCAGTTAGGACCTTTGTGCAGGTCACCTCACATTCTGTGTCACTTATCTCTGTGACAGGAGAGGGTGGCATGGTGGCACTCTGAACAAGGGATCAAGGGAGGGTTGGGCAGGGAACTGAGGCTTCCCACACCCTGAGGTCTGGAGGAGTCCTCAAGAGCTGTATACCCTTTGACCACTCAGATCTGCTTTTAGCTTTAGCAGAAGATCCTCCTGAGGCCAAAGTTAGGCTCCACCTACAGTACATTATCATTATCCGTATTTTTTGCACTTAACTGGGAATTAAACCAAGAGTTTTTGTGCATGCTAGGTAGATATCCTACCACAGACTCATATCCCTAACTCCTACGTCTCATTTGTTTTTGAGACAGGCTGGCTTCAAAATCCCTATGTAGTTAAGGGTGACCTTGGATTCCTGATTCTTCTTCTTCCACCTCCCAAGTGCTGGAATTATAGGCATATGTTACCTTGCTCAGTTCTTGCAGTGTTGGGGAGCAAGCCTAGGGCCTTGTGTATTCTAGACAAGTACTCTGCCAGCTGAGCTACATCCCCAGCCTCCCCTACATCACATTTTAAGCTGGTTGTTTCTGTTTGTTTTGTTTTGAGACTGGGGCTTGCTATGTAGTCTTGACTGGCATGGGACTCACCATGTAGACCAAGTTGGCCTCAAACATGAGTGCTGGCACTGCAAGTATACACCATGACAGGCACAATTGGTCTTCTTGATTCCAAGTCTTTGTTCACTCTCCAAAAAATTGTGCTCCCCCTTTCTTTGCCCCATTTGCAATTGAAAGGGTGATGCAGTTGTGCCTACCAACTTGGAAGTTCATCCTCCTGTCCTATCTGTTCAGTTATTTTTTCATACAGCCCAGGTCCACCTACACAGGATTGGCAATGTTCACAGTGTTGTGGCCCTCGTACATGAATGAACAATCCAGAAAATGCCCCCACAGACATGCTGAGGCCAATCTGACGGAGGAAATTCCTCAGTTGAAATTCTACACTTTTCACCAGTTTGTCTAGGAATAGCCAGCACAGAGTGCTATACAGGATGGCACACCTATTTTCACATAACTGCTGTCATCTCTTTCACAGCAGTATTACAAAACTGTTATTTTTAAAGATGGGCCCACGAAAGTTCATTCCCACACACAGAAGACTGAATCTAGACAGCTATATTTCACCCTGTATAAATAGAAGACTTGATGATAAAACTGGAGAAATTGAAAGTGTCATAGAAATGGGGAAAACAAGTGGAGATACACCCATGGGGAGTGACTTCCTAAAAAGGTTATAAACCTCTAAATTATTTTATTCATTCATAAGTCTGGCCTTGCCTGGTGCTGCAGGCTTTCAAGCCCAACAGTGGTGGAGTTGAAGGTCTTCCACTGCATAAGGAGTTCACTGCCCCATATGAGACTGTCTCTTAGAAACATAACTCAAAACCTTTTCTTAAAAACAGTCTAAATGTAAAATTTCTACATCACATTGAAGCAATAACCCAAATGAAAAGGTAACTTATAACCTAAGAAAAAACTTTGCTAACTATTCAATCAGTATGGAGCCAACATTCCAAATATATGGATAAGGAATGTTTACCCACTATTGCTGATGATTTGGAATTGTCTCACCACTATGGAGTTTTTTTTTCAGGACTGAAAAAATTTCTGCATGCTGCTGCAGTTCCACCCCTGGTTATAGCCATGATGACTTTAATGTAAGGATGCAATATCTATACCACGTTTTCTAAAGCATTATTTGCAAAAACCAAGATGTGTTTTCAAGCCTCTGCTCTCATTGGATTCATCAATAAAGATGAGGTTTATTTTTAAATAATGCATTATTGTAATTATATCATGACTGTTTATAGAAATATGATAAGAAGTACATCTTATCACAGAGAGACTCATGTAGAAAACAAAATGAAATGGCATGCTTTGACTCATGCTGAATATAGAGTTAAACCAAAGTCAAGAATGTAATATTGGGAGGATTCATTTAGAATAGTGAACCATCTGGAAGGAGAAAACCAAATGAATATTGATGATGCTATTCAATTAATTAATAGTAAAGGAACCCCTCAAACTTTTCATGTGGCATACTATGCCATGCACAGCTGATGCAATTGCATAATGAATATTTCTGTCTTTTATTTTTAAGGTGTTTACTGCTATTATAGAAACAATATAGGTCTAGAAAGATCCATTAAAGAAAGAATTTGGGGAAAGGTCTTTTCTACTTTGGGAAGAAAGTGATTTGCTTAAGAAAATCCATGGATGGGGCTGGAGAGATAACTCAGCACTGACTGTTTTTGCAGAGGACCTGGGTTCAATTCTCAGCACCCACATGGCAGCTAATAACCACCAGTTCCAGGGGATCTCACACCCTCTTCTGACCTCCCCGGGCACAGCACAACGTGGTTGCACCTACTTACATGCAGACAATACACTCATATGTATAAGATAAAAATAAAAATACTTAAAACCCGTGGCGTATTTCACTGTGAGGTAAATAGATTGAAACACACATATATTGAAATCCTTTCAGTATACTGTTTAGAAGTGAGAATATTGATGGTGCCAGCATCTAAATACAAATAATTGAAGAAAATCTATTTCACATGTGAAGGTGGTGTGATGTAGAATGATACTTTATGTATAGTTATCATAATAGAGAAATGGAACAAGAGTAAAATTGTGGGTGAAAATTGTCATATAGAAACCTAAAGGAGAATTTATCTTTACAAATTCCTTGACTATTATGAGACACTATTATGTTTGTATTGCTTAAAAAAAATTTTTTTTTTTGGTCTTTTTGAGACAGGGTCTCCATGTAGCCCCAGCTGTCCTGGAACTCACTGTGTAGACCAGGCTGGCCTTGAACTCACAGAGATCCGCCTGTTTCTGCCTCCCAAGTGCTGGGATTAAAGGCATGCGCCACCACGCCAGCTGCTTAAAATTTTTAAGGGTGTTTAATGGAAACACAATATCATTTTAGATGTACATATAGTGACTCCCACGATGGAAATCATGTTTCAAAGTGAGAAGAGACATTTGTTGCAAGTTGGAATCGAGAACAGCAAGACTTCCAATGAAGAGGTTGTTGAAGTAAGAACAGCTAATGTGAGTACTATTTTACACATTTGATGTAAATTTTCAACATATTTCAAATCTGAACACAAAGAGTGGGAACTTGTAGAGTGTATCCTCTAGAAGTTAACTGAGACCTGTTGGGTGGGTTAGTCAGGAAAGTGCTTGGCATCTGGTTATGAAGGTCTGAATTTGACTCCCCAGCATTCTGTAATTCTAGCCATTTTAGCTCGCACCTATTCAACAGAACCTTGAAATGACCATACCCAGTTAGCCAGTCTATCCAGTTTGACAAACTTGAGGTTAAATAAGATGTGGAGAGTCACTGCGGACATCATACCTAACCAGTACTAGAAAGCACATACCATGAAAACCCCCTTAAGTATAAGAGGTATAATCACTTATTCTATCTCCAGGCAGACCTAAATGTGCAAGAGAAAATCCAGCAGAAAAAATCTTTTGAAGGTATACTATGTGTGAAGTCATTTTACCAGAAGTCACACCACTCTAGGAATCACACAAAGAGGAAAGATTTCAGTTATAAATCTATTTTCACAAAAAGACTTCATAGCGTAGAGATACCTTGTGATCATGAAGAATGTCGAAATACTTTTAAGTCAGAACTCACTGTACACCAGACAGCTCATTCCAGTGAGAAGCCCTATGGATGTCGAGAATGTGGAAAATCTTTCTACAGCATGTCTGGGCTCACTAAACATCAAAGAACTCATTCAGGTGTGAAGCCCTATGAATGTCAACAATGTGGAAAGGCCTTCTATGTAAATTCTGAACTCGCTGTACATCAACGAACTCATACAGGTGAGAAGCTCTATGAATGTAAACAGTGTGGAAAATCCTTCTACAGCAAGCCTGGGCTCACTAAGCATCAAAGAACTCATACAGGTGTGAAGCCCTATAAATGTCAACAGTGTGGAAAAGCCTTCTACATAAATTCTGAACTTGCTGTACATCAAAGAACTCATACAGGCGAGAAGCCTTATAAATGTAAAGAGTGTGGAAAAGCCTTCTACATAAATTCTGAACTGACTGTTCATCAAAGAATTCATACAGGTGAGAAGCCCTATGAATGTAAACAGTGTGGAAAAGCCTTCTATAGGAAGTTTTTACTCACCAGACATCAAAGAACTCATAAAGGTGAGAAGCCCTATGGATGTCGAGAATGTGGAAAATCTTTCTACAGCAAGCCTGGGCTCATTAAGCATCAAAGAACTCATACAGGTGTGAGACCCTATGAATGTCAACAGTGTGGAAAAGCTTTCTACATAAATTCTGAACTCATTGTACATCAAAAAACTCATACAGGTGTGAAGCCCTATGAATGTAAACAGTGTGGAAAAGCCTTCTACATAAATTCTGAACTCACTGTCCATCAAAGAATTCATACAGGTGAGAAGCCCTATGAATGTCAACAATGTGGAAAAGCCTTCTACAGGAAATCTCTACTCACTAGACATCAAAGAACTCATACAGGTGAGAGGCCCTATGAATGTAAACAGTGTGGAAAATCCTTCTACAGGAAGTCTGCACTCACTAAACATCAAAGAATTCATACAGGTGTGAGGCCCTATGAATGTCAACAGTGTGGAAAAGCCTTCTCTGTTAAGTGCCTTCTCACTGTGCATCAAAGAACTCATACTGGTGAAAAGCCCTATGAATGTCAACAGTGTGGAAAAGCCTTCTCCATTAAGTGCCTCCTCACTGTGCATCAAAGAACTCATACAGGTGAAAAACCCTATGAATGTCAACAGTGTGGAAAGACATTCTCCATTAAGTGCCTCCTCATTGTGCATCAAAGAACTCATACAGGTGTGAAGCCCTATGAATGTCAACTGTGTGGAAGAGCCTTCTACAGAAATTATGAACTCACTGTACATCAAAGAACTCATACAGGTGAGAAGCCCTATGAATGCAAACAGTGTGGAAAATCCTTTTACACCAACTCTGTGCTCACTCACCATCAAAGAACTCATACAGGTGTGAAGCCTCATAAATGTCAACAGTGTGGAAAAGCTTTCTACACAAATTTTGATCTCACTGTGCATCAAAGAATTCATACAGGTGAGAAACCATATCAGTGTACAACATGTGGGAAAGCTTTCTTCCGTAATTACCACCTCCATAGGCATCAGACTACTCATGCAATTCTGAAATCAAACAAGTCTGACATTATATGAATACAGCATGTTGTAAAGCTGTTAAGAGCAACATTAATGTAACCTTCCATCAATTCATGTGGAGGAGAAACCCTGTGAATGTGAACAATGTGGAAAAACCTTAGCAGCAAGTCTTTGCTCACTATGCACCAAATACAGGGGAGAAACCCTATGAATGTAAACAGTGTAGAAGAGCCTGCCAAATGTCTACTCTCAGGGATTGTCAAACAACCTACACAGCAGAGAAGCCTTATAAAATATGAACCATATGGCAGAACATTGCCCACTAACTGTGCTCTTGCTCTACACATGTGAAAATATAAATGAGAAGCCCTTTGTACAGAATTTCTGTTCTCAGGGCACAGGACAGATCTCATGCAGATAGGCAGCCCTATGATTATAAACTGTTGAAAACCTTTCTGTAGCATTTCTGAGCTAACTGCAAATCAAAGAGCTCATACAGGTGTAAAGTCTTCTGATGTCAAACAATATGCAACAGCCTTTGATCAAGTGCATGCTCTCAAGATGCATCATAGAGGGAGGAGCCCTATGAATATAAACTGTGGAAAAGCCTTCTGCAAAATCTCAGGTGAGAAATCACTCAGGTGAGAAGCTTTATCCAGTTAGTATAATTTCATTGATCAGCAGAGATTCCCACAGTATTGAGAATATGTATGAAATGTAGGAGTACCCCTGTTCTAAGAGACAAATTGATGAATATTACAGAACTCATTAAATTGAGAATCCCTGATTGTAAGTGATGCTGAATATTTTCTGCCACATATCACACTCAATGTGCAGAAGAAAACTCACACAGGTGAGAAGCTGAATGAATGTAAAGTGTGGAAAAGCCTTCTGCCATGTGTGTAGTTTCTGATTTCAGCAATGAATACTAGTAAGAAATCTTATAAATGGGATAGCCTACTATAATAAGTCCACCATCATTCAGCAAGAAAATTCATGTAGATGAGAACACATTGACTGTTCTGTACTCAGAAAAGATTTCTCCCTAATGTTAGATTACATTGCACATCATATAGCACATCCAAGTGAGATGCCTTATCAAGGTCCCTATGCAAGGACAGTTCTGCTTGGTCCTCTTCCCTGGCCATTATAGAACTCATTTAGAGGAGAATCCCTCTGATTTTTTAATTTCTCCTGCATAGCATAGCCCATTCAACATCATGGTTGTCTTAGATGATCATGCATGTAAGAATGTATGAAAGCTTGCTGCAAGTAGTTATTGCTAAGATGTCAGACACATGCAGGTGACAAGACTGATGAATGTAAAGAATGTAGGAAAACATTTTACCATAAGTCTGACCTGAGTCAATGTTGTTGAGCACATGTTGGTGTGAAACATCAGCATGTATGATTGTGTGCATGATATGATTTTTGGACAATTTTGTATTGCAGTGCTGTCTCTACATAAGGCATACATGTGAAAAACTATGGAATTAATGTAGGAATGCTTTGTCATACCTTCAGTTCACATCAGTGTACATGTAGGTGAATATACTGTAAATGTAAAAACTACATGAGTTTTTAACAAACTACCATCACTAGATTTCTGAAAAGTCACACTGGTGAGGGAGGCTATGTAAGTTCTAAGAGTAGACACTGAAAGAGAAGTCAAGCTTTGACTTTACAAACTTCATATGGGTGAGTTTTCATGTACTTGAAGTTATTTACTGGGGCAATCCTAATCTATTCGTGTCTTCATGCTTGAGTTAACTGAGACTCAGCAGTTGAAGGAATACCCGAGCAACCTGGTACAATGTCATAAAATAAACCCCAACAGAATACACTTGAGGTAAAGGAAGCCATAAGGGCCATGTCAAAACCTTTAAATTCAACTGGCACAGAAGTCCGGTAAAGGAGATTAAGCTTTCTATGAGTGTGCTTTCTAGTTTTTGTGAACATAGTATAGAGAACCCTGGAAAAAGGGTCCTTTAATTTAGGAATTTTCACAATTTAGATTGGCCTGTAAGCCTATCTCTGGGGGCATTTTCTTGATTATTAATGGATTTTGAAGGGTGCAGTGTGCAGGGCAATACCATGCCTAGGCAGGTGCATCTTGGCTGTATAAGAAGACTGTTGAATGTGAACCTGGCACGAAGACATACATGTGAAAGCTTTCTCTTGTAATCACCATGTGTTTAAACATCAAACAATTCATAGATGCCAAAAACCATAAGAATGTAGGATATTGAAAATCCTTCAACATGTTTCTGCTCATTGCAAATCAAATACCTTGTAAAGGTGAGAAGCCCTATGAACAGAGTGCAAAATTGAAACATTTAATGAATCACATCTGCTATCCACTTATGAAAAAGAACATGAGACATTTGTGTTTCTGGGTCTGAATTACTTAGGATGATTGTAACCATTTCTATTCATTTAACCACCAAATTTCATTATTTTTCATATAGCTGAATTGTATTCCATTGTATATCATATTCTGCTAAGTAGACATAATGTTAAACTGAATTCTAATGACTTATTTTTGTACTTATAGATTATGCATCTCAACTATCAGCTGAAAAAATTCTTTTTGCAGCAGATGATGATTAATAGAGATGCACAATGAGTCAACATGCAGAGAATAAGACTTCGGAGTGCTCAGCCCTATATGGGACACCTATGTCACATCTTCTTGTCCAAAGGCTCACGGATCATTGCAGAAGAGAGGGCAGAAAGATCGTAAGAGCCAGAGGTGGTAGATGAACACAAGGAAACTGTTGTGGCCCCCACAATGCCTTGAAACCACAGTGCTGTGGCAACATCCAAATACCTGTGTAACTAAAAACAAAACCCCAGCATGGATGTGAGAGGTTGGCAAGAAGCCCCAGCCTTAGCTGAAGATCTATTGGGCATTGATAGCTGCTGGGAGACGTACAGTTCATTTTCCTTACTGGCCCAATGCCTGGTGGATTGACCAGATTTCACAGGATAGGTATTTACCCAAGAGAAATTTGGAAACACGTATTAGATTTGATGTCTTTAAGTAAATAATAATAGAAAGAATGAAGTTGAGAGGCTAGTGAGATAGGAATAGAGAGGGAATAGAGGTTTGAATATGATTGTATGAAATTCTTGACCCAAGAATATTTTTTTAAAATCACATGAAATTCTCAAAAAAAATTAGCTGGGATGGGTGCATGAATTCCTTCACTATAGGCTAGAATTCATATTTTTAGAATGCTCTCTGGAAGCCCCTGGGGAGAACTATCACCAATAGTATTATTTTGCAGTGGGCCTAGATTGTTACCCCAGCTTCATGCAATGCAAGATATGACCACCAGTTCAGTAGTGTCACACAGTCAAATAATTTCTATTTGAATTTTAGGTTCATTAAACATGCAATACATATTTTGACTGTAAATCAAGGGAAATTAAAACTTTGAAGTTAATAAGCCTCTTTGGAAATTCTTGATATGCTTTGGTAAATGGATATGATATGTTTGTTGGATTGCCTTCTATGTTTTGGCGTCTGGTCGCAAAGATTATTGCTCTCATTCTGGATTACGGAGAAAAATCTTTTTGCCATTGACAGTGTTTATGGCAGATACTCATAACTTAAAAAAGACTGCATGTGTGGTGATGCTGTGCTACAGCAACTCAGTGCTCAGATATAAATAAAAGTGAATAACCATCAATTTATATCAGCAATTCTATGGCTCAGGGACTATTGCAAGAAAAATCCATAGAAATGGAGAATCAAAGGAAGAGCTGTATACCTTTTTCCTCTGGATTAGAGCATCTCATGGAATAGGTAGACACATGAGTCTAAATAAACTAACAAATCCAAAGGGGCAAGGGCTACTGGAAGCTAAATGTTTAATCATAGGTGAGGGAAGGAACATAGGTAAAATAGGGTTTGTAAGTAGATTAGCCATAACTAAGCTAAACCTAGCCTTTCATAAGGAAGAAACCTTATGAAATCATGTTTTCAACCTAATTAAAATGATAATAAAAGGATTTTGATTAGAGTTGCCCTACATAGAATAACCTTGATACTCCCTGAAGACATGGGCTATTAAATGAAAGGAAGGCTCCTCCTAGAAATTATTGGTTAGAGAGGTTCTAGAGACACACAAAACAATGTAGGCTATTGTCATTGCACTTAGTTACCCATCTTAACTAAATGGTAAGACCCTATTGCTGAAGACACCACCTACAGACGTTAAGAAGTCAATTTTGAACTGAACAAGACACTCCCTGTTGGCTAGCTTTCATTGTGGTAGAAGGTACTATGCAGGCTACTTGGTGAGAAAAGACTTAATGGTCCTATCTGCTATTGTGCATACTACAATACTGAACTGCCAAGTATGATGTGCTTACTCTTGGAATAGTAGCAATAACTGCTCTCTTGATTGGATTTCAGGTCTCCTCCATAGGAGAGCATTGATACATGATACTATAAACTTGGAAATAAGCCAGGGAAATAATAGGCCCCAGGGGGAACCTCTTTTTGCTTTGCTAAATACTCAGGTCAAATTTGCCACTTTCTCAGTATTATGTTTATGTCCATAGCTTTATCCTGGTCTCAGTCTTGGTTATATAAACTTTTTGCCACGGGTAGTGGTTAGTTCAGCCTCATAAATGTAAAATGTCTTGGGAATAAGTGACTATGAGTGCAAGGCCATAGATATGGCATGTATAACAACACAGCCCCCAAGAGTTTCAGTTAACATCATGGAAGAAGAGGCAGAAAGAATATAAGAGCCAGAGGGTTGGAGGAAAGCAATGAAATGATGCCTGCTGGACATGAACTGGCTGTTGTACACATCAAATTTCACAGGCGTGGTTACAAGCACAAGCTTTGCACAAGATCAAGACAGTTAAAATTGACAACATGAATCATGGAGGAGCTACCAAGGCCTCACCTCCACCTCAGTCGCTATTGGCAGGTGATGACTTGTCAGGTAGGTAGAGTCACTTTTTTTGTGTGGGCACTGTTAGGCTTCTGCTGCCCTAATAGATGACCCTAGTGCAAATGGGCAATAGTAATTAGACTCCATGTGATAAAATATAAATATATGAATAAATGAAAATGGAGTGCATGAAGTTTGGGGGAGTTGTGTTGAAGGGGCTCTGAAAACAGTTGAAATGAGGGTGTGGATATGATAAAGTTACATTATGCTAGAAATTTAAGAAAAAGTATTTTTTAAAAGGTTACCAAAGAGGGCTCACATCTATATTGCTTAGCTACTTAGACCCTACCCATGCTGTCCCCATCCCCTCTTTGGGCCTGGGTTCCCTCCTGCTCCTCCCATTGGAGAGCTTCAGATTAGCCTGGCAGAACACATTGACTGGATCCCCACAATCTAATCGGGCCTAGGTACCTTTGCTCTGCTGGAGAGCTCTTGACTAGCATGCCTGTAACCATCCTGTCCCACCAATACAAAACCAAATGTCAGAACTTGAAACATAAGACTATTCATACCCAATCAGAAAGCAACCAAACTACATGAACAATTAAAAGAAAATCAAACTTAAGCTAAATAAAGGCAGGCTGGAATTTCATGTCAGACACAACCAATAAAGGAATCTGTACACCAGGACACAGTGCAAGAAAACAAATGATATGAAAAACCGAGAGGTTATGTCCCCACCCAAACTCACCAGTCCTACAGAAGTGTACTACAATGAGAACCGTCCAGAGGAACCCCAGGACCTGGAGTTTAAAAGAAAAAACAAACATCATCAAAGAATTCAATAAATTTAAAGAACTCAAAACAGAGAAGAATAAACTTCAAGGAAATACAGCTATATAGATGGATTTTTTCAGGACTTGAAAAATGAATTCATGAATATTGAAGAAAACTCAGAGTAAAATAAAGGTGGAACTGAGAAAAACTCAGCAAGCCAACTTGAAAGGACAGAAGAAAGCCTCACAAACAATGATATGGAAAATAGTATCAAAACTGGTGACAAAGTTGAAGAATTGGACCCTTCGAGGAAAGAGAAAAAGTTCAGGAATGGAATATGTAGGAAATGTGGGACACCATGAAAAGACCAAATCTACATACACATCATAGGCATAGAGAAAGGAGAAGAATCTCGGGTCAATGGCATTGACCATTTTTAACTACATTATAGATGAAAACTCTTAAATTAAGGAATGACACCTATATACAAGAAGCCCATAGAACACCAATTAGGAGAAGAATAAAAACTCATAGCAATATCATAGTATAACCACTAAATACACAGGGTACTGAAAGCTACAAGAGAAAAACCCATCCATCAGACTTACAGCTGACTTTCCAATGCAAACTACAAAAGCCAAAATATCCTGGAACAAAGTTCTTAATGCCCCTAGATGCCAACCCATAATTCTTTACCCAGAAAAACTATCAAAATTGAAGAGAAAGGAAAAATCATTCATGATACAAGTAAGCTGAAAGAAGTCCTGTCCACCAAATGAGCCCTACAAGGAATACTTGAAACAATAAAAAGGAGTGAAGAAAGAAATGACCATACACGAGGTTACAGAAAGAAAACAAACGAAGGTATAAAATATGGAAATTAAAAATAAGACCAAGAACATAAACACAAAATAAAATGACAGTAACCAGCCCACACCTTCCAATAATAACTAAATAATAATCTGTTCAACTCTCCAATAAAAGACACAAGCTAATTGAGTGAATTAAGAAACATCCATCTACATGTGAACAGGAAACTCATCTCCAAGGTCAGTCAACACTTTAGGGTGAAAGAATGGAAAAAAAAGTCTTCCAAGCAAATGGCACTAAGAAACAAGCAGGGGTTGCTATTTTAATATCTGTCAAAAGAGACCTTCAAATTATAACAAATCTTAAGAGATTAAGAAGGTCACTACATTCTGATCAAGGGAACAGTCGACCAAGAAGACATCACAGTTGTGAATATATATGCAACAAACTGATGCATACAGTTTCATGAAAACAATATTACTGGATTTCAAGACACAGATTAATCCCAGCTCAATAATAGTAGGTGATTTCAATGGCTTACCTCCAATAGACAGGTCATCTGGACAAAGAACAGAGAAATATATGAGTTAAATGATGCCATACATCAAATGAGCCTAACAGACATCTACAGAATAATTCCCCCAAGTACCAATGAATGTACAGTTTATTCAGCAATCCATGCAAGTTTCTCTAAAATAGACATACTGGGGCACAAAAGAAACCTCAACAAACTTTTAAAAGTTGGAATAATTCCATGTATTCTTTTGAACCACAATGCAATAAAACTGAAAATCAAGACTAAATGAAGCTCTAGTAACTACATGAACTTACGGAGATTTAACAGCACACTCCTGAATGATGAATGGGTCAAAGAAGAAACCAAGAAAGAAAAGTATTCTGGAACTGAATGAAAATAATTACATGACTCAACAATTTTAAGAGCAACATTTATACCTTTAAGCACCTACGTTAAAAAATTAGAACACAAATAAATGATTTAATGTACAACTCAAGAATTTGGAAAAGCAAGAATAAACCAAATAGAATCCCAACAGATAAGAAGAAAATAAAAATCAGAGCAGACATCCGTGAAATAGAAACGAAGAAAATAATGCAAAGAACCAGTGACTCTAAGAGCTGGTTCTTTGAAAAGATAGACTTTTAGCCATGTTAACAAAAATAAATATAAATAAATAAATAATAAAGGCAAATCCAATTAAACTCAGAGATGAAAGGGGAAAGAAACATCACAACAGACACCAAAAAGAGATAGGTGCAAGAAAGGACTTTCTAAATCAAACATCAATTGCTTAGGAATTATGGTCGACAACTGACAAGTGCGACCTTTGTAAACTAAAACGCTTCTGTACAGCAAGAGAAATAAAAATTGAGGGAAGATAAAGCCCACAGAGTGGGAGCAGCTACAAATATGACAGATTAATATCCAGAATACATAACTCAAAAACTAATCAAGAAAACTGACCCAATTAAAAGATGGGCTATGGATATGAACAGAGAGCTCTCAAAAGAAGAAATAAAAATTGCTAAGAAACACCTTAGAACATTTTCAAAAGTTCAACATCCTTAGTAATTAGGGAAATGTGAAGCAAAAGCACATTTAAGATTTTATTAAGCCCCAGTTAGAATGGCTAAAATCAAGAGAACAAATGATGCTGGACATGGTGGTGCACGACTTTAGTCCCAGTACTCAGGAGACAGAGGCAGGTGGATCTCTCTGAGTTAAAGGACAGCCTGGTCTACATACTGAGTTCCAGGCCAGCTGTGGCTGCAGGGAGACCCTGGAAGGGGGGAGGGAGGGAGGGAGAGAGAGAGAGAGAGAGAGAGAGAGAGAGAGAGAGAGAGGAAAAAAATAGCTGGTGCTGGACAGGATGGGCGAAAAAGGGAACTTACATTCACTGCTTATGGGATTGCAATCTAGTGCAACCACG